GAAAATGAACTAAATGCAGCACACTCAGGCAAACAGTCAATACTTTATGTGAGTTTAGATTCTTTTAGTTTAATATCAATAGTCAATATCATAATGAATATTCAAATACCTACTTTAAAGGTTAATGTTGATATAGATGAAAATTCAATAATCTAGAATCAGTGGGAATGTTTTATTTCTCACTAATAAGTGTGGGGGTTAATAATAAGCATACACAATGGGGCTTTGAGGGGGGGAAACCTGGTATTAAAACACAGAAATACAATAAAAATACACTTGAAGAATAGACACCACAATGTTTGAACAGTTTGTCCATATTGTGTAAAATATTGTTAGTAACTATTCATTTACAGATAAATGTTGTGCCTCCTGAAGTCAGATATAATAGGTTAGCCCAAGAAAATGGAAGGTGTTCACACCTATCATGCCCCCACAGAGACTCCCACTATTTCCCCCAATTTAAGTCTTCTTTAGTCCAAAGGGCCTGGTCTGTTTGTGTATAGTGATTGTTGGGGGGAAACCACAGTTAGCCCTTCCCTTTAAGACAGTGGTTTCCAACCTTTGATGCTCCAGTTGTTTTGGACTGCAACTACCAGAAATCCCATCCAGTTTACCAGCTGTTAGGAATTGTGGAAGCTGAAGTCCAAAACACCAAAGCTTGGGAACCACTGCTTTAAGACATTCCCTTTCCCTTAAAGACACCCCCCCCCCCCCCCCGGGAGGCAGAGCCTTACAGCTAACTCTGGCAGCCTCTCGGGAGTAAACCATTTGTCCAGGAGGTGTTAGAAGGAGTAAGGACGCTAACATTATTGAAGGTCAAAGGTTGATAGTCAAAGGCTGGTAGAAGTCCAACAATTGAAAAAATGAACAGCTAGTTTTACAAACAAAGAGACTTTGCCATAGATACAGAGAACAAGGAAGAAAAGACACAGAAGATAAGGAAGAAAAGAACACTGCACAATCTAACCTCCAACCTTTTTCAGAGACTTTTGATTGTCAGATTGGGAAAGAGTTAGAATTTGGACCTTTTGCGATTTTATTAAATTCTTTATTAACTGTCTTTCTAGATACATCAACTCTGTTCCTAGTAAGATCAGGGCACCTTCTGAAACCTTTACCTTTACTAACTTCTGAAAACAGCTTGCATGGACCTAACAACACCCTTTAAAAGGACTTCCAGCGGTTCTAGCTCTTAATGAACAATGACAACTTGGTTGGTTTCAGGTTCTACAGGATAGTCAAAGGAGGAACAGCTCCAAGTAAATGTCAAGTATTGACTGTAATAGTATGTTGCTGAAGTAAAGAGCAAACAAATGAGCAGTACTAACTTTGGGGAGTGTAGATATATAATGAAATATTACTTCCAGGAAGAGTTACCATGAGCACATGATTGTAATTTGTGATGCGTGTTCAGGGGCGGCTCATCCATTACGCGAAGTAAGCGGTCGCAGAACACTTTTTTTTGCCAGGGGCGCAGAGGCGCCTCTGTAAATGCCCCTCAACCGCCACTTGAGGAGCGCCCCCTCAGCTCACAACAGCCCTAGCAGTCTGGGGGGAGCCTCGGCTTTCTTGCCTCGCTGCCGGGCGATCCTCTTCCCAAAGGGGCCGGGCCCTTGAGCCTCGCCTAGCCCCTCTCGTTCCTGCTCCACCCGCCACCGGGTGCACGAGCAGAGCCGGTGCTCAATCGTTCTCCGCGTTTGATCCCTTCCCCATGACCGGCTCCCTTTCCCGATCCCCCGGTGCTCCACCCGCCTCCTCTCCTCTCCCCAATCCGCGGGTGGGCCAAGGGGCGGAGCCGCTGCGCCCCTTCGGGTCCGGAGGCGTGTCTGAAGACCCCAGCGTGCACACCAAAAGTCGCCTCTTCTCCTGACTTTCTCTTCAGCCATTGGGACCAAGAGAGAGAGAGAGAGAGAGCCCCTCCGGCTGGAGGTATCTCCCACCTCCGCTCCCTCCTTTGTTTTTGCGCCTACCTTCAGGAAAGGTGGGCATCTCCACCTCTCTCTCTCTCTCTCTCTTGGTCCCAATGGCTGAGGAGAAAGTCAGGAGAAGAGGTGACTTTTGGTGCACACGCCGGGGTCTTCAGGCACGCCTCCGGACCCAAAGCGGGCCAGGCAAGGGAGCAAGTGCGGCAAGTGTAGTTACTGGGATGTATAGTTCACCTACAATCAAAGAGCATTATGAACTCCACCAATGATGGAATTGAACCAAATATGGCACACAGAACTCCCACGACAAACAGAAAATATATATCAATGATTGGTTGGGGGGGGGGGGCAAAATACTGTTTGCTTACCATTGAAAATTACCTAGGGCCGCCTCTGTGCAAGTTTATCTGATTGCACAAAGCATTTCACAAAGGTCTTACTTTTTTAAGAGTCTTAAAAGGCTAGTAGACACATGTTATGATGTTTACAACACTTTCTAAGAAACAGTTCTTCAACGTGTGGCCTACTGTTTTGATGATTCAAGGTTGCTGATAACTAAAAACTGAAACTGGATTTCCCCACACTTTCTTCCCCAAGCATACATTGAAGTTACACTAGTTAATCTTACATCCAAACATATATAGGTTCATGCTAGGTATCTTAGATTTGCATTTCATTACTATAAATACTTCTCAGCACTCAGTTTAACTGCACATTGGAATTCAATAAGGATGCTTAACTCTAAATCAGGCACCCTGGTAACGCAGCGGATTAAACCACTGAACTGTTGAACTTGCTGACTGAAAGGTTGGCAGTTCGAATCCAGGGAACTGGCAGAGCTCCCACTGTTGCCCAGCTTCTGCCAACCTAGCAGTTCGAAAACATGCAAATGTAAGTAGATCAACAGGTACCACTTCTGCGGGAAGGTAAAGGTGCTCCATGCAGTCACACTGGCCACATGACCTTGGAGTTGTTTACGGACAACACTGGCTCTTTGGCTTAGAAATGATGAGAACCATCCCCCCCCAGAGTCGGACACGACTAGACTTAATGTCAGGGGAAACCTTTACCTTTACTAACTTGAAATATTTTCTAATGCAAAGAAAAGTCATTTTTTTCACAAAGTAATTGTATTTTTTCAATTTCCTTTGCTAGGATATAAAGGGGAAATGTTGGGCAGAACTGCTCTCCTCAACATCTAGTTTTAGCTACAAAGGGTCCTAAAATCAATACAGAATTATTCGTGATTAAATCAGTTGATTTCAATGTGCTTAAGCATGCATAAATTCTGCACTGGGATTAGGTCAAGGAACTATTATATGAAGATAACACGAACTAGGCGATCTCCCCACCTTCTCTACCCCAGTAATGCATCGGGGAAACATCTGATTCCTTTACTTGCTGTTAGTGTGATAAGATAAGTTCTCTTGTTTGGCAATATGGAAAGTAATCACTGATTTAATTTGAAAGAGTTAAGCAACTAATGGGATATTAAAAATCTTTGTCTTGGGCTATACCAGACATAGCCAAACTTTGTCCCTCCAGGTGTTTTGGACCTTTGGACCAGTAGGCTGTTAGGAATTGTGGGGGTTGAAGTCCAAAACACCTGGAGGGGCGAAGTTTGCCCAGGTCTGGGCTAAACTGTTTGCAAACTTTGGAAACATAAAAAGACTTCTGTAAATCTATTCTAAAACCTGTAAATATAGGCCTAACCTGTCAACCACTTAAATCTATGTCACGTCACCTAATAAATACAGAAGACGGAGTTTGTGGATGTTGCTTTAATGGGCTGTTGCTTTCTAACTTTGTTTTCATATATCAGCTGGTTGACTGAAGCTTGATGTCAAAAACTGCCTACAAAAAGAATTTTCAAAATAATGTAACACCTATCATCCTATATTATTCAAAGTACTTGCTGTTTAATCATGATTTATTGACACCAACCCTGTTTTCTCTTGAAACTCTTAAATGTTACTACAACATCAATGTTGAATGATACTATATAACTAGGAAAGAAAATATCTGTTCTGTATAATCAGTTGATTTAACAGCACTAAATATGATTGCTGAAAACTATTTCCCAATGGGATCTGAACTGGGATAAAAAGGACAAGATTGAGTCTTAAAGGTCAACACAAGTTATTTCCAATTATGAATTAGCCTTTCCCCATAGCGATTGCTAGAGTAACTGATTTTCCTCCTGCTCTTTACAAGCACACGCACGCACACACACACACACACACACATATATATATATATAACCAATTGCTAGTTTGAGTTTAGGTCAATTTATTTTTCAACAAATACAGAGATGATCATAGAGACATTTCATAAGAAAACAGTGTTACTAGAGACAGAGATGCAATTAATTGAACATCTTTTATTCTGAGTTACTGTATTTATTTAGTCCAGGGGTTCTCAAACCTTTTCAGTCGTGGAGCCCTTTTTGAAGCAAAAGTTTCTTGTGGAGCCCCAAGAAATGTTTATATATTATCTAGTCAGTGGTTCTCAACCTGTGGGTCACCAGGTGTTTTGGCCTACATCTCCCAGAAATCCCAGCCCGTTTACCAGCTGTTAGGATTTCTGAGAGTTGAAAGCCAAAACTTTTGGGGACCCACAGGTTGAGAACCACTGATCTAGGCCATGCAGGAAAAACACAATCAAAGCACCCACTGGGCAATGGGAGGGAAATACGGCTTTGGGGGGAAAAAGTGGGCGAGGGTCTGGGCAGTGAGAAAATGAGTCTGGACAGCAAGGGAGAGGGGGAAAAAGGGGTCTGTGCCTTGGGTGGACGCTGCTGCTGCTATTTCCAGCAACTCAAAACTTCAATTGCCCTTGATTTCTTAAGAGGATGAAAGAGGAGGAGTCGGGATGCTGCATGGCACCGTGGAGCCCATCACTATTACCCAGGGGGCCCCAAGGGCTCTGCGGAGCACAGTTTGAGAACCCTTGATTTAGTCAATAATACATTCATTGAAGCCAAGCCTTCCCACTCAAAGTCTTGGTCAAATGGTGAAGTCTTGATCCAAACTAAAGATCTTTCCCAGACAGCTGCCCATATTTTTAGCTACTTACAGAGCAAATGGGCAGAGTGAAGCCCACTACGTAGAGGACACTGGATGTGATGGTACTGTCATGGAACGGATACTTGATGCTGTCATCATTACAGAAAAAGCCCCTCTGATACGGCTTTATTTTTGCCAAGTTTAGAACAGCAAGGGGTAAGCCAGCTGTTGGGGAAGGGAAAAATACAGAGTTAAATATGTGTGTGTGTGTGTGTGTGTGTGTGTGTGTGTGTGTGTGTTTGTGTGTGTAAATTTTATTCAAGCATGGAAGAAACTACAGAGCAACATGCAACATTCAAGAGATTCTCCAAGACAGGGAAAGGAATTTCATATCATGCAATGCACAAAAGCTGCCTGCAACATTAAATGCCATGAAATGGTCTGTCCATTTTGCCAGCAACCAGGCCTGCCAACAATCGCAAAAAATACTGTGATACTAAATTCGGAGTTCTTGGATGTACAAAAAGATCCTTTATATATAAGGCACATTATGGAATAAAGTATTTAGATGATGTAACACTAACATCAGAAAAGGTGTAAAGAAAGGGGAAGCCCCTGAAACTTGTAAGTAACAAGAAAGTCTGCAGGGATTGTGATACAACAAATTAAAGAGGGTTGGTTTCGAGAAAGGCACTATTTATTTATTTATTTATTTGGTACACTTGTATACCGCTAATATCTCAGCCTGGAACGGCGACTCATTGCGGTTTACAGCAGTTAAAACAATCTACAATTTAAAAACATATACACATACAATAACAAATTATTGGGCCACCAATAATAATCCCATATATCTCGAATTAAAATCATAATCCAGAATTCGTTGTCCATGTTTCCTGTCCTTAGTCATCAAAATTCGAATTGCCACAGATTAGCAGGAAATGTGTGAAAGGTCAAGAACACTGCCAAATAAGCTCAATGTTAAATAAACCAATTTCAGTAGTAGAAGTGTGGAGCAATGTGCTAGTAGTCATGGAATCAACACCATTTAAGAAGGTGAGAATTTGGTAAAACTGATACACATTTCTTCAATTCTAAGACACATTTCCCCCCTACCACATAAACATATATAAAAATGATGTGCACCTTAGAACCAAAGGTACTATACATACAAAAAGCTATATAAGCTTTTTTCTGTTGGTAGTACTGAAATTAGTGTGCATCTTACAATCAATGGCATCTTAGATTGGAAGAATGCTGTATTGTTTCAGGAGATATGTGCTACTGGCCCACTGAGGCTAGGAACTGCTCCCTAAGCTTTCTTAAGGAAAGAATGTGGAGCTCCACCAATTCCCTCCAAAGTTTGGGGCTAGCAAGGAGGAGGAAACATCCTGGCAACCATAGTGCCCATCAACTACAGTTTCATGTGTTGTCAAAACAATTCCAAATAAAAGGATTTCCACACATGTGGGACCCCTTTTTAAATTTAATATTTTCTCCATGACATTCAACATCAATCTTATGGAAGAGTAAAACCAGAACATTGGTTTTTTGCTTTGTGCCCTATAGAGAACAAGCCCTATGAGGAGCGGCTTAAAGAGCTGGGCATGTTTAGCCTGCAGAAGAGATGACTGGGAGGAGACATGATAGCCATGTATAAATATGTGAGGGGAAGTTATAGGGAGGAGGGAGAAAGCTTGTTTTCTGCTGCCCTGGAGACTAGGACATGGAGCAATGGCTTCAAACTACAGGAAAGGAGATTCCACCTGAACATTAGGAAGAACTTTCTGACCGTGAGAGCTGTTCAGCAGTGGAACTCTCTACCCTGAAGTGTGGTGGAGGCTCCTTCTATGAAGGCTTTTAAACAGAGGCTGGATGGCCATCTGTTGGGGGTGCTTTGAATGCAATTGTCCTGCTTCTTGGCAGGGCGTTGGACTGGATGGCCCACAAGGTCTCTTCCAACTCTATGATTCTATAACCACGGTTTTATTTGGAAACAGGGCAGGATTTACTCTATATTCAAGAAATCCAGAATTCCTCAATTTGGGGCTATTGTTGTGTGGGTCTGTCTGTGCAGCTTTTCTGTGAGAATTCTCTGCACTGAAGAAACCTTGGTACATGCGTCTATTCACTCAATCTCCTAAGCCTTCTTGGGTTATCCTTGGTAAGGGATAAAGACCGGACCCTGTTCCACCCTAACATTGCATTTAACTGTTTCTTACAGTGTTTCCAAAGGACCTACACCACATTTTGTACACATTCCTTTATGAGGAATCACAATTATGGAGGCTGACTTAAAACATTACATCTGTTCCAATATGGCAATTCAAAGCATTAACTGTCCCAAGCTGTAATTACAACTAGACCTGACACTTTTGTGTAGGTCTACATATTCTTTGTAACATGTTAAAGCTTGGATTACACAGATGCTAAGACATCCAATGGTGGCCTGCACTTTGCTGTAATTTTTATTACCAAGGGGGCATGACACTGTAAGGATGGGGAGGAAAACTGTCATTTGCAGGAACCAGCCCTTTCAAAGAGTCACATAATTATAAATGACTCTTGAAAAGTGGCCAGCCTCTGAAGTACAAACAATAATCAAGTATGTACTTTAATGAAGACATTTCTCCCATACTGACGTATTTCTGATTTCCACAACTGGGGATATACTCAAAGGGATTTTCCACCTCTCTTGGTGTCTTCCCACCTGCTTTGCCAGTGCCATCCAAATTAGGATTAAGAAACCTTCCAGAACAGTATGGAGAGTGGTACAGGAAATTTGCAATGCAAATCAGTGTGTTTTTGAGGGGTATCTGTGCAAGCAACAGTGCCTTATATTTGCATCTTTGATCCTTTGCATCCAACTAGAGAAAAAACAATCAAGGAAACAGAGGCTGAATGTTAAAGGGCATGGAAGACAGGAAGAGCAGAAAAAGCATGATTGGTGCCAAAAGACAAGCAGTGTGGATTAAATGGACATAGGCATGAATACATGAATCAGAACTTGGAAGAATGGAATCATGGGGCTACACAAAACAGCAAAATATTATTACAGAGAGGAATCTACCTCAATTATCCAGCAAACTAACACCTAACTTTAAATTATTCAACAGTTTTTGCAGCATCTCTTACTCAAAATAAAAAAAGCAACAACATACAGTATTTCTTTAAAAGTTACACAAACATGAATAAGCCTATACAGGTTGAGTATCTCTTATCCAAAATGCTTGAGGCCAGAAGTGTTTTTGATTTAAGATTTTAAAATACCTGTATTTGCACACAAGTACATAATGAGATGGGATTCAAGTTTAAACACTAAATTCATTTATGTTTCATATTCAATTTGTTTACATGACCTGGAGATAACTTTATAACATTTTAACAATTGTATGCATGAAACAAAGTATATGCACCATTAGAAAACAAAGGTGTTACTATCTCATACACCAATTTTGGATACTGGAGTATTTTTTATTTCAGAATTCCATATAAGGGATGCTCAACCTGTATTACTCCTCATAGCAGAGTTACAAAACATATTGAGTTCTCAGAACAAGCAACAACCTCAAATAAAGAGCTTAGGAAGCTGCCTGCTCATATTCAGCCTTCTTTAAATTAGTATCTTCCAGATGTGTTAGGTCACATTTCCCATTATCCCTTGTCAGATAGGGATGATGGAATTTATAGCCCAAGACATCTGGAATAAAACAGACTAAGGAAGGATCATCATTATTATATGGACTGTAAATTTAGCAAAATATATCCCAGACTACAGTGGGACCGCATGTCTTTTACATTCAGTAAGATCCAATTGCTATCATCCCTTTTGTTAGGAGAGACTTGGATACAGACTATGTGTGTGTCATGCTCAACAAGAAAGAACAATCAAAAGTACAAGACAGTGTCTGATTTGATCCTAAATAGCTGCTTTTGAACTGGAGTAACTAGAAATGTTACACACCGAATCAGGAATGAAATGTTTGTGTATGTGTCAGAAGAAAGCATTATGAAATAGCTGAAAGTGAATTCTTTTTAATTTGTCAGACTTTCCCCCTATTAAATCTGAGAAGTTTTATTTGACGTTGCTGAAAAAAACTCCTAAGAAATGAGAAATGCCGTAAGTGATAAGATTTTTTAAAATATCATCTTTATGAAGACATTTCAAAATGTTCTCTCCTGACACAAGTGCAAATGTTCATGCTGATTTCAATCTGCAACCACTTCTGTAAATACAAGATCAGAGCACCTATGCAGGATCAGAGCAAATGCCAGTCTCCTGCGGTATCCCTGTCCTCTCCCATACCCAAGGGAGACCCATAAACAAGACATAAACGTACTAGCACCCTCTTTCTTGTTCATGCTCTCCGGGATCACGGGACACTGTCTAATCAATCAGTTCAGCAGAGAGAATCCTGTTTCCATTCTTAGGCAGGGCGAGAAGCAATTGTTCTGGCTGAAAAGGTTACAGGGAAGGGAGGGGAAGCCCATAGGAAATCCTCAGTACAGAACACGGATGTCCACAGGAAAAGGAGTGCCAACTTGTTAATATCCGCAGAAGTGAAAAATGTGCTTCCCTTGACAAAAAAATTAGCCTGTTCAGTTAGGGGTTTTTTATTAGTCTGTTTCTGTTATGGAAATATTCTAGTTTAAGAATGTTAAATGGTGAAAGAAGCACTGCAAAAATAACTCTACATAACTAACAAGATGTCTACTGATGATATTTTACCAAAAGAACAAGGACATTACTGATTCAAGCTATACTTTCTGAAATCCCAAGTCTGATTAACAGGTAGCATTTTTCAATGGTGAAATGATTTCACATTTTAGACGCAGATCAAATATGAAAGGTTCAGGGATGTTTTGTCTCTAGGAGAATTTGCATGCAGCTGCATGTGTTTCCAGAAGACAGAGCAGAGCTGGTATCATTGAACATTGAAAAGATCTGGGGCTAGAGCAACAAACAAAAGCAATAAATGTCATCTGTCAGGAACAGCATGAGGCTCTGGCAGCAGAGAACACTCCAAATTTGCTTTTATTGTGACAGGATACAAAGGCAGCATTCATTTCAGAAATATTCTCCTAGTAAGCAAATCAGAAAATAAAGCAGAAGGGGTTAGACTATAATACAACACTAAGGCAGAGACTGATTACAATAAAAAAATTAAGTGTAATAAATAGCAAGGATAGTTATTTTGGCCACAAGGGGAAAAAAAATCCAAAAT